TTCTTTGATGTATGCTATGGTCTGTACTAGACCCGACATAGCATATGCAGTAAGTCTTGTAAGCAGGTACATGGCGAATCCTGGAAAGGCTCACTGGCAAGCGTTAAAGTGGATTCTAAGGTACATAAATGGGTCTCTGAACAGAGTCTTAATTTATGGTGGAGCCTTGGGTAAAGATAGTAAAGCAGCTGTCGAAGGCTATGTTGACTCTGATTATGCAGGCTGTATGGATTCCAGAAAATCTATTTCTGGATATGTTTTCACTATGTTTGGTACAGCAATTAGTTGGAAAGCAACTCTTCAGAAGGTTGTTGCCTTATCAACTACTGAAGCAGAATATATTGCCCTAACTGAAGCTGTGAAAGAAGCATTGTGGCTTGAAGGTTTTGCAAAGGAGCTGAAACTTCAAGGTCAAGGTATCACTGTTAAATGTGATAGTCAAAGTGCAATACACCTGTCGAAGAACTCAGCCTATCATGAGCGAACCAAGCACATAGATGTGAGGCTGCATTTCGTCAGAGGGGTAATCGAGCGTGGAGAAGTCCAAGTGCTGAAGGTCTCGACAGATCACAATGCCGCTGATATGATCACCAAAACATTGCCAAGTTGCAAGTTTTTCCACTGTATGCAGTTGATAAAGCTGCATGAAGAAAGCTAGTTAGTGTCTCTTGATGCTGCAGAGTTAGGTCCAAGGTGGAGATTTGTGGGATATTGGATCGAACTCTAGTATGATCGAAGTACATGCTGTAGTCGAAGAAAGGGTATAGCATGTATTTGTCGAAGATGCTTGTTAAATTAGGTTTTAGTGTTTAAACCCAAATTTGTTAAGTTAGCTTGTTTCTTAAGTTAGCTTGTATAATGGGCCTTGTGGAAAAAGCCCATTAGTTAGTATGTTAGGTTTTATTATAAATTGCATACTAGTCTCTCATCATTGCAACACAGCAAATCCTAATCTAGGGTGAGAGGGTTATTTGTTATTCTTGTAAACTTGTAATCTTGTTTCCTAAGAGAAAGTAAAAGAATAGCAGTTATAACCAATTCTTGTGTTCTTCTTCTTCATTGTTCTTTATTCTTCTTCCAAATACTATACTTTGTTATTGGCATTGAATTCACAACAAATAAATATGCATATACCGGCAAATAAATATGCATATTTCATTTTTCTATCATGTCTTGCAACTTTGCTAATGTATACCCTTAAAGATTTTCCATATTTTAAAAAGTTAAGTTAACTTCCTTATTTCATAATACTCAATCAAATATGCATATACCGGCAAATATTAATGAAACACTGTTTATTCTAAATATCTATCTGATTGCTAAGTAACCTCTACTATCGGTTTATTTTTCTATCAGACTCTTTTATAGCCATCATAATAATAACAGTTTTTTGTGTTGCCTATAATTATCTATAATATAAATATTAAAGTAAAACAACTTAAACATTCTAACACTAGCAATTATAAACATTTATTTTAAAAAATAAAGTAGCAGCATATTTAGCAATCATTATTGGTATCTTCCCAATGCATTTCTTGGTTTTTGAGGTATCTATCTTTTAAGCAACTAATCAAATGCATTTTCATTTATTTATCTGATACAAATGTTTCCTTTAATTAATTTGGATGTATGCACGCGTTTAGTATACCACGATTTCCCACATAATATCAATTTATATTTATCTCTTTGAAGTCTTCACCAATCCATGTGAGCGTCTTTGAGAACCACAACAGTTAAATAAGTATACTACTTTTAATGCAAAGTTACACCATTAATAACATTATTGTAAATGATTTTGCAGGGATTTTGTAATGCTATATATAATGTTACCTACAAAAAATACTTCCATTACAAGTTATTACTATTGGGGAGCCAATGGATAAAAAAAAGTCATCTGAAAATGAAAATTTTCATACACTGTTGAGAAAGAAAAGAGCAACACATGCTAGAAATCATAGAAAGGTTGTACTTGATCAGAGAAGAGCAAAGAGATTGAGGTCAATGCATAAAGATAATGCTGAACAACCTCATGTAACTACTCAGGGAGATTGTCCCCGAATCCAAAATACACTATCCATAATTTCTCCAAATATCCCAACTTCCATAAGAACTACAAGAAATTCCATTCAGAAAATTCAGCCTAAGTCAGTGTTGAATACCTTGCCAAATACCAAGAATATTGTCAGATCAAAGGGGGTGTCTCGCGTGAACATTAGCAACTTAGGAGTGAATTTGGCAAGGAGATTTGGTAGTGTTTTCAGTCAAGGAGCCTCTACGTCTTCAAACCCACAACCACACCAAGATGAGAAAATTAACCAACTTTTTCAAGATGACAGTGGGGACGATGCTACGAATTCAGATTATGAAAGTATTTTACTTTGTTAAATGCTTTTTATGACTCTTATATACGTCATGCTTCTATTATATTAATTTATAATAACAATCTTCATAGGTTATGGTTCAGATACTCTATCTGTTATGGGCGACGATGACGAATATTCTGACTATGAAGATGTCAATATGGATGTACATACTTCAAGTACATTTTATAAGAAATTCACAGTATGGAATTTCATATATTTTTTTGTCTTACTTTTTTCTGTTATAGGAGAGTATTATGATATAGAAGACCCAGTCATTGAGTGTCAATACTATGGTGCAAACATGTGGTATCAAGAGAGGAAGATCAAATCACGACATTATGTTAATCCTAAGTTTTTGATGTGCTGTGGAGAAGGAAAGGTTCAAATTCCTTTGTTAAAAACACTGCCACCTATATTGCAAAAATTGTCGTTTGATCAAAACTCAATTGAATCAAAACATTTTCAATAAAAAATTGGTCTTTACAGCATGATGTTCGCATTTACGTCACCAGGAGCTAAAATAGAAAATAGAATTTAACAATAGAAGAGGACCTCTAAATTATCGAATTCAGGGTCAATCATGTCATCGTATAGGTAGCATGTTACCATTGTCAGGTTAGAACCCCCATTTTGCACAACTATATATATTTGATACTGAACATGAGATCCAGAATAGAGTTGATGGAATTGGGTTTGTTCCTTTTAGTTTAATCTAATAATAATTCTTTTAGATTGAACGACATTATATAAGATTCTATATGATATTTATTTAATACTGTAGGACAAAAAACAGAGTTGATGTTAATACAGTGAGAAAACTATCTGATATGTTGTATGAACATAATGTTCATGCTCAGTATTTTAGAATGGCAAGGGATAGACTTTCCGAAGGAAACGTTACTGACTTGATACTACGTTTAATTTCTGAGTGAAATACGGATGGAAGGATATATAACCAGCCAACTGTTTTCGAAGTAGCCACTCTTATTGTTGGAGATGTTGATACTGTAGAGAAGAGAGATATTATAATGCAAAAACAATGTTGAGAGCTTCAAAGAATAGATGAATATCATACATCATATTTGGGATTTCAATATCCACTGCTTTTTCCTTATGGTTCTAACAATGGTGTACTAATTTTGACCGAACACATTCAGATGTTGTACCTGAATATGTACCATGGGAGCAAGCAACAAAAAGGAACATACTCACCATTAGGGAGTGGTTAGCATTTAGGATCCAAGCAAGAAAGAATGAAGCACGGACAATTCTCAGATCATTAAAGAGCAAACCCAAAGGCGTAAATGCAACCAAATACTAATTTCAATCTTTAGTTACCATTTACTATAAATCTTTGTTTTTATTATTTTGGATAAATTTGATTAATTCTAAAATATTTATTCAACTGTGGACAATGTATAAGTTTCTTAAAGCTGAAATTGATTCACCTAAAACAGTTCTACGTTATAATTTTATGCAAGATTACAAGGTTGTCTTTAAAAAAATCTTCGCAATGTGTTAGTTTTCTCTAGCTTATTCCTTAATTGTCAAGGTTATATTCATATGAAACACTGATACAACTCAAATACAACACTGACACATCTATCAATACCAATTAATAATATGAGAATTTAGAGTAATTGATGTTTAATAACATGTTTCGATGTCAAACTGTGTCGCACCAAAAGTTAGTAATCACTAAACATCTGCTTTGTTAAAATGATATAATGTATTGAATTATTGATTGATAGGTGTATGTATTATGTTAGTATGATATGACTAATGTATATAAAATATGAGTGATTTATGTTTAATGTCTAAACTCGAAAGTGAATCAATGTGTAGTCCTAATCGATTTGGTTGTGTGTATTTGGCGAATGATTAATGAGATGCAACACTGGTTACAACGATTGATCATCTACTGAACATAATTAACCATAGATTTGAACTATTTGTGAACTGTATTAACCGTTTTTTGTTTTCATTCCATGGTTCCATGGTTCCATGGTTCCAATGCAGCCTATTTCACGATGCCACTTTGGTCTAAATTATTGATAAGACAAGAAATATATATTAAAAAAACGGCTATAAAATAAAAAGTAATGAATACATTGATCTACCTACTATTAGATTATATATACACAATATTATAATATAATAAAATACTAAAATACCTTCTAGCAAACTTAGTCAATAAGACATTCTTAAAATATAAATTATTTTTAATATAAGTATAGTACCGCAGCCTAAAACGATTACGAAGACTAGAATGATTGCACCGGCCAATTAAAAAGACAATGAAACTGCTAAGAATCATGTTGCAGCTGGTGCCAAATACAAAGAAAATGATGTCTTAAGCCAACCTCAAAGATGAAACCGAGCCAAAAAAACAGCACAAGATCAATGAAACGTTCAGTACAGATTCAGCAGATGAAGGAAGTGCTTCTACAAGTGCAAAAAGCAGTAGAAAATGGCTAACAGCACAAAAACATCTTCTGTCAGAGAATTAACAACAACATTTCAACCATTGTGCATTGCTATCCTCCAATGCAGTCATAACAGAAACCATATCATAAAGCTATCTTACAAATAAACAAGTTTCAACTTAACATCACTTTTGTTGCTACTTGGTTCATTTCATTCCTTCCCAACATTAACAACATGCACCCTCAACATTTCGACAGTTCCGTCTTCGCGCAACACAAGTTCACATAAGCATACATCCTTTTCTGTAATCTTGCTCTTTCTACAAAACTCTTCCCACCCTTGCACAAACACTCGCCCATCTCTCCACCTACGTATTTTGCCTCTCTTTTCAATATGTTCCGTGTTGATTTGTGGCAAGATATGATGATATGCACCTTTTTCATTTCCTCCAACATCCTGTCATAACAAAAAGGATCAACGCAAACCGATCATCAAATTCGATAAAAGCGAACATCTCTTCAAAACTAGAATTATCATACCTTGCAGTGACAACATACAAGAGTTATATGCTTTGTGAAGCAAAGGCATAGATCCTGAATCACATTTTTCGGAATATACTGCAAAAACCAAGATCCAAAGTTCTAAAGAAATGATAATGAACACAATCAGAGTAGAGTATATAAAGAACTCTACCAACTCGTTGGGTCTGTAATAAATATATCTTGTTAAAAAGTATGGGTTTCCCTGCTGAATATACATTTCAGCATCGATTTCCACGTCTTTCAGTTTTGTTATCGCAGATCTGCTACCAATGCACCCTAAAATAAAATAGATCAACTAGTAAATGTTGACTCGTATACAAACAAATAAAAAGTATGAAAAAAACTTACAAGGATTGCAGGGTCTGCAATGTTGATGTTCGTTCTCATTATCACCATTCACAGTAGTATTATTCTTTTCCACCTCATCATTTACCTTTTCCTTTTCACACATAGACGATAGTTCGAGGATTTTGAACTTGAATACATTGTGTTCAACATGCGTGAAAACAATGTAGTCATTATCTTCTAAAGAATTTTCTTCTTTGAACCTTTTCCAGCCATCATCAAAATAAAGCTGGTGACCGATACTAAGCGTTTTCACATGCCAATCTCTACCTCGGTGATTTCTTAGGATAAAATCCGGCATTACAGTCTTTTTTGAAAGCAGCAAGTTCACAAAAGCATTTGGGATAAGCTGCAACAGATTAATAAAAGTGATAAAGCTTTGGTTCATTGCATATTCAAAACAAAATATAAAGCATGATTAAATATAAGAAAATACCATTCTCTCATGATCCTTCTCTATGAGGAAGACTTTGAAGAAATCAGGGTACTCTTTCACCATCTTTACTTGTTTCTACACTTCTTTTGTGATTTTTCAGAGAGAGATATTGTAGAAGTTGCAATGCTAAGGGGTTGGTTTTTCAGAAACTTAGTGGGGAAGGTTGATATGATTCTTTTGTTATTTGTATACAAAAATTATTAATGGTTTGTTTCCTTGAAACGATGAAATGTTAGTGCAGGTCTATTTGTATTTCTATTTATGGCATTTAATAATGTGCAATGCAGGAGCAATAATAGTAATATGGTAGATATGTGCTAGTGGTCCTTATTATCAAATAATGGTATTATAAGTTGTTTGATGATTTATTTTGACATGTTGGTTTTTTGCTTTATTTGATGCTAAAAGAATGAAGGATAGTATGTTCACATTATTTACCAAACTTGGGCATTTCATTTGGTGTGTTACTTATTGCTGGTTTGTTAAAGCCTTTTGAAAAATTTAATTTAGTAACTCTTCCACGCGTGAACTATTATTGATTGGTGATCGATGGATATGGATCGTAACGATAGACTTGAATTTTTGGTACGATGGAGTAGGGGATGAGCTACTAGGTTAACAGTTCAATGCCTACAATATTAGAGTAAGATGAAGTGAATTAGATTTGAATTTAGATATACTTGAGAAATGGCACGTCTCCCTCTGATATAGTAGGGCGGTTATAAAGCGCTTGTTGATCTATTGGTGCAGAATATAGTGCTCCGTCTGATTGATCTTGGATTGAAATCACATGCATTCTTGACTAGGATAGCACTCATGCTCTACATGTGATGCGGTGGATCACTGTGCTCTCTGAACCATAATTATTGGGCCTTTTAGCCGGCACAAAACAATTTCCCCCCAAACCCTTGTCTCTTCTCTCTATGGTGAGGGCTTTGCTGCGTTTGTCCTCTTCTTCGGATGTTGTCCTACTTAAGTGAAAAGTCACGATATGACGTCATTGTCATGGGGAATTCGTGCCTTAAATGTGCACCGTACTCTAGATGTATTTTCACATACTTTATTATGATGACCTTTGGGAACTATAGTAATCGAGTGTTTTTCTGAGCAAACTTGGACCATTGATAGTGTATATTTCCTTTCTTTCAATGAGACATCATATGGTTTTTTCAGAATGGTTATACGGTTTTGTTGATCATTACCCTTTTCTTTTTTTCATTTGCATTCTTTACAACATACCATTCTTCTTAGCTAACACTACGCCAAAAATAAGTTTTAGCAGCACATAAAAGAAAGCGCTTTTGGAAAAAAGCGTTGCTGTAGGTTTTAAAAAAAAATTCGCTTAAAAAAGCGCTTTCAAAGGGTGCCTTAAGAAAGCGCTTTTCAAAAGCGCTTCTAAAGGTCACCCTTAGAAAGCGCTTTTTGGGAAGCGCTGCTAAAGCTGGCCTTTCAGAGGGTACCTTAAGAAAGCGCTTTTCAAAAGCGCTGCTAAAGGTCAGCCTTAGAAAGCGTTTTTCCAAAGCGCTGCTAAAGCTGGCCTTTAGAAAGCGCTTTTAAAAGCGCTGCTATAGGATATGCTACGAAAGCGCTTTTTGATGTAAAAGAGCTGTTATAGATGATCTTTATAAAGCGCTTTTAAAATCGCTTTCGTAGGTAGTTTTATAATAAATATCAAAACACAATTCGTATCACTTTTCTAATTTTTCTATCTTTTCTTCTTCTATTATTTGCAGTTGTTCCACAAGTTTCCATAACTCATGCTTAATATTGGAGAAAAAGGGCGCCTTGGCATCCATCTTTGCGTCACGTATCAACCACCAATCTACCACCCCTGCACCTTGTCATCTCTCTCAGCTCACGTTCACGTGGTCACCAAAGCAAACCACCACCACCACCTCACCTTGGTATCTTAACAGGTTTATTCTCAAACCCTAAAATGCGAATTTATGTTTGCTGTTACTTTTCTGTTTGCTGTTACAATGAGGTTTTGGTACATTCTTTTGATTTTGAAAACAAGGTGTTTGCTGAAATGTCACAATGAGTTTCTGTTTGTGATATGATTTTGCAAATAAGGTGTTTGTTGAAATGTCACAATGAGTTTCAGTTTGTGATATGATTTTGCAAACAAGGTGTTTGCTAAAATGTCCCAATGAGTTTCAGTTTCTTACATTGATTGATTGTGATTTTTGATGTTAGAGTTATGTAATTGACTTGAATGAAGAAAATGAAATTGTAAAAGTGGTGTGCGGTTTTGTTAATTGATTGTTGTAGTTGTTTAGTGAATAATTAGGTTTTGATTATGTTTCTGTTACAAGTTTTTTGGTGAGTTGAGTTGAATTCTGTTTGGGATTTTAGTTAGGGTTTGAACTTAACTAGAAGCATGTTTCACATGTAATTTCTAATATTTTAATTTTACTTCACACCATTGCAGATAACACTTGATTTAAATTACGACTTCAACTCATGTGTTATAAATTGAAGAAGTCACAATTGAAGAGTCACTTGCAGCAAACATAAACATGACGTATATGCTTGTCCTCTTTATGTTTGTTAATTATTTTATTTTGAGAATGACCAATTTATGTTGTTCTCTGGTTCTTGATTTACTGCAGCAACATTTCAGTTACGTTTCTGCAACAAGTTGTATCACTGCAGAAGTTTATGTCAGATGCACATAAAGGTAAGCATTCATGGACTTGGATATCTTCTGCTACTACAATTTTGGCTGCTGCGTTGATTGCCTATATTGCTAAAGGTCACTGAAATGTTTTCCTATTTATTTTAGAAGATTAGTTATTGTAATAGGATCAAGATATACCTTGATTTTTAGCTAAAATGTCTTGATCTTTATTAATGAATTACTTTTGTTTTGACATATATTCACTTTGATGTGTATGCAATATGTCTTTTTCATTTTATATAGTTGACTTATTTCAACCACTACATGGATTTCACTGTTTGTTCGTAGTTTTTTTTTTTGTAATTTCACATGGTGGATTTTCTATTGATTATGGTTTTTTAGATTATTGACAATTTTTCCATTGATTATGGTTTTTTAGATTATTGACAATTTTTTGGATTTGTGTTGCTTTTGATTTAATGTTATTATTATGAAAGAAAAAGAAATGGTGATGAGATGGCATATTCCATGCGTTTTCAATGAGGAAGAGGAAAGAGTGTAGAAAAACGATTTTGAAAACACCCTATGAAAGCACTTTTTCAAGAAAAATGCTGCCTTAGGTAACCTATGAAAGCGCTTTTTCACAAAAAGCGCCGTCTAAGGTAAACATATGACAGCGCTTTTCCAGAAAAAAGCGCTGCCTTAGGTAGACCTATGAAAGCGCTTCTTCATAAAAAAGCACTGCCAAAAGCCTACTTAAGAGAGCACTTTTTAGAAAAAGTGTTGTATTAGGTAGACCTACGAAAGCGCTTTTTATTAAACAAAAAGCGCTGCTAAAACCTATAGCAGCGCCACCTTAGAAAGCGCTTTTAAGCGCTTTTAAAGGCCAAAAAAAGCGCTTTCGTAAGTCTTTTTTGGCGTAGTGTAATGAAAGTGGTATCTGCCATGCATCAAAAAGCGAAGGGAGAAACTTATGTTGCTTGGGTAGACCCTAAAACATAGCCAGCTATTTCTATCTTTGCTTGTGAAACTAGTCTTAAAAGGGATTTTCTTGAAGTGAGTCCTTTTTCTTGAAGTTATTTCTATATCTGCAGTGAATTTAGAGGGTGTGTCATTGTTAGCCAATTTTTTTTTACTAAGGCATCAATAACGACAAGAGTTTTGAAGTACAAAACTAAATAAAAGGGTATTAGGCGAAGAAAGGATTGTTGAAAGGAGGGCGTCGAACTTAGCAGTGTCGAAGGTTTTAAACTCAGCTAAATTTCTAGTCGAGCTAACCAAATGGCTCAAAGAAAGGCTTCAAGGACTTAGCCAAATTTTATATCAAGATCTAGTTGAAGCCAAGTTGAACGTGCAAGCAGTTGACACAAAGCAATTTTCAAAATGACTGTCAAGAGCGCGGGGAAGTTGTCAAAAGGAAGTTTTTGCATGAACTTAATACGTGGCAGGCTGTGAATGGTCGAGCGTTTAGATAACGATTATTTTTATATCTATTTAAGCAAAGTTTGTATTCAGTTCTAGGGGTCGCATTTTGTAACATTGCAAGGAAGAACTCAAAGTACTAGCGTCTGAGAGAAACAAGTGATTTCCAGAAAAATGTATGCATGCGCCTAATTTTAATTCAAAGCAATTTACATTTTTAAATCTTGTTTTATGTTTTGTTCTTATCTTGCAATTGTCTTTCATTTTTACTTGCTACATTTATAATTCAGTTCTACCCATTTCAAACACCAAAACCTTACCAAACTTAACACTAAGTCTAGGATTTTGTAGCCGATCCTGCAAGTAAAATTTAATTAAGAGGCTAGACATTGTTTTCCAGAAATGTGTGCAAATAAATTAGCACGCCCAGTGGAACGCGTTGTGTTAAGTTATTATTATTTTGCATGTTGTTTTTCTTAAAACCAACACTGAGAGTGCATGAATTTAAGAAGTGGTAGGAAAATGGTAGATCCTAAAAACACTAGTTCCAGTGGATACACACCCCCAGGAGGAAGCACAGTTGCTTCACAATCCTCCTACATTAGTGTATCCACGTCAAGCACTACAGCGATATTATCGAATGCCCAAAGTGGGTCAACGTTCTCACCATATCAACCTGGTACTCCAAGGCCTCCTGGGACGAGTGCTTCTAGGCCATATATGCCTAGCTTCACCAGGCCAATATTTTTTGGAGATAGAATCTACAGAATTCCAACATCTTTAATGGCAGGTTTACATAGTGACGTTTCGATATTTTCTGAAAACACGACGTCAGAATTTTCACTGTATCATGGGTCGAGACCTATGGAAAACCAATTTGGTCACTCGAATGGCTTCAGATTTTCATCCCAAGCAATGCCAACTCTCACCACAAGTTATGTTGCTATTATGAGGCAATAGATGAATAAAAGCAATCACGAAATGGTCAATATGCTTACTCAACAAATTGGTGTCATACTTA